TCCGCCAAAATCTCCGGCGTCTGACGTCAGTTACAACATGAGTCGCTTACCTTGTCCGTCACTTCCCTCTCCGTCACTTCCTCTTTGTTTTTATACATAGAAGGTTTAATTTTTTTTGTTTGTTTCTGTTTGTTTAATTGCAGAGAAAGAGTTAAATAGCTTTTAGTCAATAGTTTGTTATTTTCCCAGGTAGAAGACATGCATATATTAGTGTACACTGTGCTTTAAATGGATGAGTTGTACAGTGAGATATTCACTGGCAGGAATGATTTCCTGTTCCATTCAACGGTGCATTTTGGTAATCTCAGTCTCTCACTGAAATGTACTCCTCCTGTAACTAACTAGCAAGCACGTCATGGAGTGGGTGGGAGGTGTTGTCTAGCATTTTCAATTAACTTGGACAGCTTCTGCCTCTTTGACACCACTTTTAGAGATGCCACTCCACCCCCACCCTCTGCAGTTTATTGAGTGTTATCTTCCACAATCTGGTGCTCCAGCATGGCAGTGGCAAAAAGGGACTAGTAAAAAATTCTTGAGCACAAATGTCAAAAGACCTCAGGTTATTCAGCTCTGATGCTCAATCCACAAATGCATTTTCCTTAAAAATGTGGCATCATGAAAGGAGAACTAAACTCTTTTTCCAGTGGTTTAAGATTTATTTCCCAGAAGCTTTGTTACAAAAAAACAAAAACAAAAAAACAATCAACCAAAGACAAATTTGTTTTGTGCTAAGTTTTCATAACGAACAAAAAACAGACTCTTAACAAATATACTACTTTGTGGTTGAGAGCTACAGCAAGAGAATGATGTACTTTTATTAAATTAATTCAAAATGTATGAACGTTTTAATAACCTTTGTATAGGATTAATTTATAGTTTTAGTTTTGCACAACTTTATTTAAAAAGTAACAGCAAAACAATATTAAATTATTGTATTTCTAATACAAAAATAATAACAAAATAATTTCTATTTCTGAAACAAAACCATTTTATTATTCAAACTACATAAATTTATGACTTAAGAATAAATCTATCTGAACTATGCAATTCTTTTATTGTATTATTATAATATGTAGTATTTATATTATATCCATACAACCTTCAGACAGACTTATTCGATGAATTTTTCAAAATGATAAACTTCATGTTTGTATAAGTATTTATCTCAGGATGAAAGATTTACAACATTTCTGTTATGTGCATTAAGAGCTGTGGCTGGCAAGTGTGACTAACAAACAAGCACATTATATTTTATACACTGTCAAAAGATGGAAAAGGTGGGTCAAAGAATACCTTCCTATGTTGCAGGAACGACAAAAATGGAACAAGATTCGTACGAATTTTTGCTTTACTTTTTTTGGTGATGTTGTGCTTATTGTTGATGGAGCTGCAACAAGAAATTCTTGGCCCATTGGACACATCACTGAAACCATGGCAGATACAACAGATAAAGAGCCGTTTTTGAGTCAAGCAACAATCAAATGAGCTGGAGAGGCCAATCAACAAAATGTCTCCTGGTGGTGGCCATCCAGATGAAACAATGAATGTTTGCCTCTAGCTGAGCCAAGCTCTGGAACCCCTGTCACTTACACTGACACTTCATTATGCAACATACACCTTTTGCAGCACACACAATTCAAACACATGGGCAAAAAAAAAAAGACTTGAAACCATAGGACATTGACCTTTCTTTTTGCCTTTTAAGAAGACATATATGGACTACTGAAGAAAATTATTGGTATTCGATCCATCCATCCATCCAAAATGCTGCAGCAAGAGTCCTGACAGGGACTAGAAAGAGAGAGCAGATTTCTCCTGTTTTGGCTTCCCTTCATTGGCTTCCTGTTAAATCCAGAATTGAATTCAAAATCCTGCTCCTCACATACAAGGTCT